ATATCTCCCAGGAGAGCTCCTCTGCACTGCAGTGATGCTGACAGCGTTCAGCACTCTGAGCTTTGCAGTCTAGCTTAAGATAAGCGAGACTTGCCTTTTACTCTTGAGCAATGTATGTAGCTTCTCTGAGCCTCAGTTTCCTCTTCTATCATCAGTTTGAAGGACTAAGCAGCATCCCATAGGTCAAATGGGAAGCCTGTTGCCTGGAGCTCAAGCTGTCAGCATGAGTGATCACTTCATCGTCCAGCCTAGTGGTCATCCTAAATTTTCCTGCTGTCTCTGTCCTCTGCTATACCCACTATAGGTTGCCTGCTTCAGATTTAAATATAACTTCACTCCAGACCCACTCTTCTTCCTCCCTAGCTTCACATCCCAGAGTTCACCAGAAGCCTGGGAGCCATCAGAGACTTTCCACTCCCACCCCCAACCTGGGGTCAGTCACTAAGTGCATTAACCTCACATATTTAAAGAGTTTTCAGGTTATTGAGTTCTTTTCTCATTCCCATGACTTGAATCCAGACCGCACCCACTGCTGGCCGACTGTCAAGTCAGGATTTTGTTCCTCGTCCTCAGTTTACCCAGTGGACTCTGTCCTTCAGCCCCAACTAAGGTATCACTTCTTCCAAAGACCCTCTCTAGCTGTTTCCTCCTCCCACAGGTTACACGCTGAGCCAGGCCCCAGGGGACAGACTGGGGAGAGCCACATGAGGTGTCTAGGAGCCTATGCTGTCGGAGCCCCAGCATTCCCATGGGCGTTCTCACGCCTGCAGGTTCCCAGGCAGGAGATTTTAAAGTATTCCTCCTCAGACCTCTTGGGCCAGTATCTGGCACTGGGACTGACAATAAATATTTGTTGAATTAAATTTGCCTGAATCTCCCAAAAGATTGTGGTCTGAAAGGTGACTCAGTGATTGTGTTCAGAGGAAGAGCCATCTCACTGTTCCACAGGCTGGCTTGGCTCTTCCTCCTGCTGGTAACTGCTACCATCTCCTCAGCACTCTGTGTCAGTGCTGCAGTGAATGCTGTGTATACATTAACTCACTTAGCCCAGGGAGCTGGGTTCTAGTGTTACCCATCTTACAGAGGAATGCTGAGGCTTTTCCAACTGGACAGGTAGGGTGCCCACCTAGGGCTGCCCGCTTCCCTCCAAACCCATGCTTTGCACCTCCATGGGCTGAGGTCCACCTACATTCTCATCTTGACCATGGTCATCCTTGTCATGTGGTGGTGGTACTGGGGATTGAACCAGGGGCATTCTACCACTGAGCTACATCCCCAGTCCTTTTCATGTTTTATTTTGAGACAGGATCTCAGTAAGTTTCCAAGGCTGGTCTTGAACTTGCGATCCCCTGCCTCAGCCTCCCAAATAGCTGAGATTTCAGGCATGTGCCACTGTGCCCTGCCTGGTCATCTAGATTTTTAATAGGTGTGTGTTAGTACACATTTGATTTATGTGCCTTGACTAAACTCTTCTAACACTAATCTCCATTTTTATTTGAGCCGGTCCTTGGAGGTGTTTCTAAATGGCTTAGAATCAGGGAGAGCAAGTGCAGTTAGCCAAGGCCCTTTTATTGCAGCCCTCCCCTGACTCCCTAAGTGACTGACAATCTTGTGCCATATTTTCTCATGGGAGAGAAAAGTTCCATCCCAGATACTTGCTAAACACTGGAGTTTAGACTATGGTTCTCAGCTCTTGTGAGCTCACAGTCCTAGCAGGGAAACACAGGTTCTGACCACAAGACAGAGTGGTGAGTGAAAAACACTGAATTCTCCTGTCTGCAGTTCCAAAATCCAGAAAGCTCTGAAAACTGACATTTTTTAAAAATAAATCATTTGGAGGCAAAACCTGATTTAACATAGTTTTTACGTGGTTTTTATTCATCTCACTTAGTGTGAATATTTATACATTTTGCTGAAGAAGTGTTGATCACTGGGTGCTGCCGCAGCCCCCTATGGACTGTAGATAATATATGGCTTTCAAGTCTGTGGTACATCTAGCCCTGAGCTTTGGAAAAACCCATGTCCTGATCAATTGGGAAAAAATGTGTGGAAAGACTTTGTAAATTAAAAAATAGTGGCTGGCGTGGTAGCACATGCCTGTAATTCCAGCAGTTTGGGAGGCGGAGGCAGGAGGATTGCAAGTTCCAGGCCAAGCTCAGCAATTTAGCAAGTCCCCTCTCAAAACAAATTTTCTTAAAGGGCTGGGGATGTAACTCAGTGGAAAAGCACCCCTGGGTTCAATCCCCAGTACCAAAAATAAAATAAAATAGTAAACCAAGGTTTTAAATGGTATAGTCCCCTCTTTTGTGTAATTGAGCTGGTGACTTTTTTCAGAACCAGGAAGAAAGTCAAAAGGAATTAAAATTTGAGCTGGGTCTTGAAGCGTGAGTTGAGTTTCTCACTTCATGGAGAAGCTGTGGAAACGAAATTCTGGACAGAGGGAGGAGGGTGTAGAAAATGCGCAGGGGGAAAAAATGCCTTTAAGCGGCTTGAGCACATGGACTTTGTCAGCTTACAGAAAAAAAGTCTGATTATCTGTCAAAATTCAGGAGAGAAGCAGTTGGGATAATACAAAGGGGCAGCTAGTCCAAAATCCATTTGCTTCGGGCAGGATTTTTTCGGGGGGATGCAGACTTACAAGTTCCCAGAGAAACATCACTGCTGCCCACCCCACCCGGCTGAGGTCCGGTGGGGAGGCCATGGCGGTGGTTCACAGTGCCCATCCTCCCCATCAGGCAGATGCAGCAGGGGCCTGTCCCCACGGCAGCCCAGGGAGGGGCTTCTTTCACTGCCTTCTGCTTGGACTGGGGTCAGCCCCCTTCCAGGTGGCAACTCTAACATCAGACTGCCAAGTTCAAAGCAGTTCAGCTACTTACTGCTGTTAGTGGCCTTGAGCAAGTTATTTACCTCTTCTGGTGCCTTTGTTCCTCCACTGTAAAAGCAGAACAATGGCACCCAAGCCTGGAAGCTGGCCTGTAGCACTTAGCAGGGTGCCTGAGTGGTAAGCATTGGGTAAGCACTAGTGATTACTCTGACAAGGACTCCCTCTCTCCTGTTGACATATAAGTACTTGCAGTCCTTAATACTTACCTTAAAAAAAAAAAGAAGAAAAAAAAACTTTATTCTTTCTTTTCTTCCCCTGGCCATCCACTCCCTCATCGTTAGCCATTTTCTGTAGAATGTGACCATTTTGGTTTCTTGCCACTGTGTCTCAATCATGGTGGGACAAGACCTTCCTTACTTGGACAGTGCAGGGATTCTCAGCTTGGGCTCCCAGATCCTCAGGGGTCCTTGTAGGCAGTCAGGGACATTCCTAAACTCATACCAGGATGCTGATGTCCAGCAGTATAAATAAAAACACCTGCTTTGGAGCCCCTAACCAGTCACCTAAGCCTGTGTAAGTTCCATAATCAGTTCCATATCTTATTATATTATGATTTGTTCTAGCCTTTGTGACCTATGCAACCAGTGTAGCCTCTATGTTCTGTGTAGTTTTTTGGCCTGTATAGTGCAAATGAAATGTTACTTCTATTGCCTTTGTAGCCTACATGACTCATTCCTTACTAGATAGCATGGGACTATAGTACTTTTCTCACAAAAGCATTACAGCTTAAAATAAGCCATGTGTTTAAAGCCCTTAGCATAGGACTTGGTGTATAAGAAATACCTTGTGATGGCCTGACTCCATTATTACTGTTAGTATAAAACATTTCTCCCAGGTCAAGGCCTAGGTTAATGAAAAGGTTGGTGTCTGTCAGAAGTAGATGGTATTACCACAGTTTAGTATGGTGATGCTGTGGTCTCATGCAAACCTCTGGTTGGCAGTACCGTATGGCTTTCATAGGTGAAAATAAATAAGATTTCTACTTAATAAATACATTAAGGGGCTGGGGTTGTGGCTCAGTGGTAGAGCACTTGCGTAGCACGTGTGAGGCACTGGGTTCAATCTTCAGTACCACATAAAAATAAATAAAAATATTATGTCCCTCTACAACTAAAAAAAAGAAATTAAAAATAAAATAAATACGTTTAGGCAGAGAAGCATGGCAAACCTGAACTCTTACATTGTGGAGAAAGAGGGTCCCCGGTCATTAAGACAGCATGGGGACTCAAGTTTCGTACACTATCAGTACTAGCTCCTTGACTGGCTCTTGTTTTTAAAGAACTTTGTTAATAAGTAACACATGAACACTGTCACTTGGCCTCACCTAAAGCCCTCAGGCAGGTTTTACCATTAAGCCAAGTTTTGAGGTGCTGGTACTATGGTGTCACAGGTCCACATGAGCGAAAGGACTTATCACAGACTTAAAAGGGACAGGCTCTTGGAAGCAATCCAGCCCAAACCACCCTACCCCATCGCACAGAGCAGAGAAGATATTGCCTGTGGTGGGGATATACCAAAGACCTCCAGATCCATCCAGGATCTTTTCTGACAGACCAGGATCCTCACCTAGAAGGGACATGATGCCAGGGGCTCAGTAACTGTCACCAGGGAGTTCTTTCCAAATAAAAAGTCCATCTCCATTTTCCACCCTCTTCCGCTAAGGAGAATGTCGCCTCTGCCCTATTGTGTTAGGGCCAACAAAACCACAAACAGGTAGGAGGACAAGTGGGCAAGCCCTGGGTCTCCCAGACTTGCTTGTTTGGGGTCCCTTCATCTGGAGAGGCTGGTTTGGTGAGTCAGAGCTCAGGCCTGAGAATCTATATTACTAGTGAGCCCACCACAGAATTCTTAGGACAGAGCAAGTCTGGGGACATACAGAGCCAGTTCAGGTCAGCAGAGGCTTTCACTGTTTTCATCCGGTGTGTTCAGTGGGGCTGGGGGTCCACCGGCACCCTGTGCTGTTCCTTGGAACTCGGCTCTTTTCCAGCAGAATCTAATTCCTGGGCACCGTGGCAGCTCAGATGCGCTGCCTGACCTACTTTGGGGAGATGATTTGAGTGGAAGACGCCCAGTCTAGCCTGGCTGACATTAACGTCTCTCTTGGCATTGTGCTTAGACTGAAGAACCTGGAGCTAGCGGCCGTGGGAGGATCAGATGTCCACGTGAGGATGCTGGCGGCCCCTATCAATCCATCTGACATAAATATGATCCAAGGTAACCTTGGTTTCTGGGGCTTATGTTAATTGGCTTTTTTGCTCAGCTGCTACCTCATTGCCGGTCCTCCTCAGGTGCGGATGTGAAGTGCCCATGATTACAGCAGCTGTTCTCCAGAGGTTCCATCTGCAGACTGTGTCAGCCTTCTGATCTCCCTCCTCTGTGGCAGGAAGATTGCAGTGGGGAGGAATGACCCTGTGACATGCTGGACTCCTTTCCTAGTTTCCTTGCCCCTAGGATACCATGAATGCTAAAGAGTCTTAGGCCCTGGACAGATGAGGAAACTGAGGCTCACTCAGGTGGAGGCTGAGGCTAGTCAGAGGCAGGGCTGCTCAGGCTTGGGTCTGACTGGCCCCAGAGTCTATTGTCTCCCTGCCTAGACATGGCTGACCCTTTGCCCTCTTCTCCCTCAGGGAACTATGGCCTCCTTCCCAAGCTGCCTGCTGTTGGAGGGAACGAAGGTGTGGGACAAGTGGAGGCCGTGGGCTGCCGTGTGACTAGACTGAAGCCAGGAGACTGGGTGATTCCTGCAAATGCTGGGTTGGGTGAGTTTTCCCAGGAGTCAGCAAGCATTCTGTTCTTCCAGATCCTATTTTACCCCCCACTGAGAAACTCATCTCATTGGCTCAGTGGAACTTACTAAGTTCATGTGGCTGCCTCAGGAGGGGTGGGGGCTGAGCAGGGAGAGCAGGACCCATTTCTTTTGCCCCAGAGGGAGTGTTCCTGCATTTGCATCTCCTTGGACCCAGGTTGATGAGACTATAATTCTCTAAATCCTACATCCCTAAATCCCTGCTGTAAGGTGCAGTGGAGCATACGAATAAGGTGATCCCTGCCCTCCAGGGGGCTGAAATCTAATTGAAGAAATCTGTAAACCAATAACCTCAATGAAGGGAGTGCTAAGAATTCACAGGAAGCAGAGAGTTCTTCTGGCCCTTCTGTGTGCATGTGTATGTATATATGAGAGAGAGGATACTAAAGAAAGATTAGAAAAGGCTTTGTGGAGGAGGCTTCCTTAGAATGGGCCTTTGATGAATGAGTTTTGTTAGGTGGAGATGAGCCTAGCATTTCATTTGAAGAAAAGATAAGCAAAGATACAAAGGCGAGTTTGAGAAATGGGGGGAAATCCAGTGTAGCCTCAGCAGGGGATTTGTATGGGAGAGGGATGCAGGAGTAAGAAAGAAGGTTAAAAGGGGTTGGGCATAGTGGCACATCCCTGCAATCCCAGTAACTCTGGAGGCTGAGACAGGAGGATTGCAAGTTCCAGGCCAGCCTGGGCAATTTAGCAAGGCTGTAAGCAACTTAACAAGGCCCCTGTCTCAAAATAAAGAACAAAAGAACTGGGATGTGACTCATGATAGAGCATCCTGGTTCAATCCTCAATACCAAAATAAATAAGTAAATAAAAGGTAGGGCATGAGCCGGGCATCGTGGCGCACACCTTATAATCCCAGCAGCTCAGGAGGCTGAGGCAGGAGGATTGATAGTTCAAAGCCAGCCTCAGCAAAAGCGAGGCACTAAACAACTCAGTGAGACCCTGTCTCCAAAGAAAATACAAAATTGGGCTGGAGATATGGCTCAGTGGTTGAGTACCCCTGAATTTAGTCCCTAGTACCCCCTCAAAAAAAAATCGGGCATGACCACATGGGATAAGGCCCTACACAAGCTACCTAAAGAGTAGGATTTTCTTTCTTTCTTTTTTTTTTTTTTTCCTGTGGTGCTGGGGATTGAACCCAGGGCCTGTGCATGTAAGGCAAGCACTCTACCAACTGAGCTATGTCTCCAGCCCTAAGAGTAGGATTTTCTTTATGTGAAAAAAATGAATCATTGTTTTGGTTTTAGCACTCCATGGGTTTGAAGCCCACCCATTATAAAATAGGTTCTCACAGCAGGCACAAGAGTATAGCAATGCATATGTCCCTACTGGACATGAGGATGAAGCTTAAGAAGTGAAACTTGTCCAAACTCAAACAGCAGAATAAGGGAGGGCCCAGTGGACTCTTGTCTCCCGTGTTTTTCCCACTCTTCGAAAGATCTCTGGGTTGGGACAAAGGAAAGGGCAATTAAAAGGAATATTTAGAAGACACATCAAGGCTGGGGATGTTGCTCAGTTGGTAGAGTGCTTTCCTCGCATGCACAAGGCTCTGGGTTCAATCCCCAGCACCACAAAAAAAATGAAAAAAGAAGACACATCAGGGGCTGGAGGTGTAGCTCCCTGATTGCTTAGCATGCACATGGCCCTAGGTCAACACCCAGAACCATCCCCCCAAAGACCCTTTAGGTTATAACTTACAGGGACCAACTCATACTTGCCTTAAAAAAAGAAGAATTTAATTGATCTGTGGAGCTGAAAACTGTAAGAGATTGAAAGTCCCAGGCACAGCTGGACCCAGGAAGCCTAACACGGTCAGGGCTCTCTCTCGTCACTGATTCCCAGGTAGGCCATCCTTACACAGTGACATAATTATAGCAAGAGATATTTATTGACTACTCTCTTTGAGCCAGACATTATTTTAAGCACTTTTTGTTTATTAAATCGAATCCTACCTTATTTTGCAGATGAGACAAAAGTAGATGTAAAGAATTAACCAACTTGCGTGAGGTCACCCAGTCAGTAAGAGGCAGAGCTAAGACTCAGATCCACTCTGATACATACTATTCATAGATGGCCACCAGCAGCCTGGAGTGTGCCTCATCCTGGAACAGATGAGCACATTCAGCGCTGTCACAACCAACACTACCGTCTCCATCCCTGAGCAGCCCTGGATGGCCCTCCTTAGGTCCTTGCCTGTCCATAAACCAGTCACTTGGGGCACTGGTGGAGCCACTGCAATTGTCCCTTGAGTCTTGCCCACCTCTGTGGTACAGAAGGTGAGACCTGGTGGTAGATGGCCCAGAGGTTAGAAAGGAACCCTTCTAGAGAGAGAAAGGTGGCAGGCAGGAAACCAGCAGGAACAGACATCTCCTACTGAGCTCTTTGCTCTTCTGAGCTCTGAGAAGCTGCCAAGAATGGCTCCACCTGCTCCTTCACCCACCTAGCTGTGACAGAGCCCTGCCCCCAGCTGCAAGGACACAGTAGGTATTGATGCCAGCACCTTGGGCTGGCCCCCAGGGCTGAGTGAAGGGCACCCAAGACGGGTCAGACAGTCCCTGCCCTCAGAGTTCTCTTGGCTGACGGAAGGCCAGCAAAGGGAGAAGCAGCCTGTAATTCAGGCAGTGTGAGTGCTGTGATCATAGGGTGCACAGAGGCTGGGGTTTCCTAGTGAGAAGCATTGGAAAGGATCCCAGAGAAGCGGCCCGCCAACTTCATCTAGAAGCCCTTCTAGAAGTGCAACTAGAAGTGCAGCCGTGGCCAGGTGAGGAGGGGCTTCCCAGGGAGGGAGTGCATCTGCACAGAGGGGAAGAGAAGAGGCAAGGCGGTGACTGAGCCACTGGTAATGCAACAAGCCCAGGTCCCTTGGGAGCGGGAGAGAGCCAGATGGAGCGGGGAGGTTGAGGAGGCTGTATCATGGAGGGCTCGCATCCAGTCCAGGACCCAACACGGAGTCAAGTAGAGGGATACAGGATGATGTGTTCAGAGCAGGGAAAGGTCTGGAAAGGCAGAGGGTAGAGACAGGGAGTTCAGGGCTCAGGTGAGGAGGGTCTGAGCAAGACAGTGTCACAGGACTGGAGAGGACTCGAGCCAAAGTAACAGGACTCAGGACGACTCCAGATTTGGAGAGGAAAAGGATAAAGACCATCTGCCAGGTGTGTGGGTAACTCTACTCCAAGCACGGTGGTAGGATTAGCCACAGTAGGGATTCCTTCCTGCAGAACAGGTCAGTCTTTTGGACAAGGAGCCAGTTGGAGAAGATGAGGATTTTAGAATCATGAAGAATATAGTTAACTTAGTTTTTAGTAAATACTTTGTGAGCTTTTACAGAGTGTTAGACTCTAGGACACAGTGGTAAGCTGGTCATGGTGGTGCACACCTCTGATCCCAGCCACTTGGGAAGCTGAGCAGGAGGCTTGCCTGAGCATCTTAGTGAGATTCTGGCTCAAAATAAAAAATGAAAGGGCTGAGGATATAGCTCAGTGGTAAAGCAACCCTGGGTTCAATCCCCAGTACCACACACACACACACACACACACACACACACACACACACAGCCTTCATGGGCTGAGGTTGTGGCTCAGTGATAGAACACACGCCTAGTGCACATGAAGCCCTGGTTCAATCTTCAGTTCTACATAGGGATAAATAAATAAAATAATGGTATTGTGTCCAACTACAACTAAAAATAAATAAATAAATAAATAATTTAAAAAATAGCACTCATTAAAACTAATGTCTAACCAGATCACGGTCATTTTTCATAGTGCTGAGCTGCCCAGCTGTGGCTATGCCCACAGCCAGCTTTTTCCCAAATGCAGCAGAGTATGGGCTGGAGAGCACAGATGGATGTTCGCCAACTGGCTTTCTCACTGGGAAACACTCAAAACCTTCCTGAGGTGGCACAGAAGGGGTACTGGCCTGGCATTCAGATGCATATTCTTGTTCCAGCTCTGTTTTATGACCTTGTTTAGGTCACAACTACATTAAGCCATAATTTCCTCATCTCTAAAATGCAGCTAATAGCCAGGTGCCATGGCACATACCTGTAATCCCAGCAGCTTGGGAGGCTGAGGCAGGAAGATCAAGGGTTCAAAACCAGACTCAGCAGCTTAGCAAGGTCCTAAGAATTTGGCAAGACCCTGTCTTAAAATAAAACATAAAAAGGTCTGGGGATGTGGCTCTATGGTTAGGCACCTCTGGGTTCAATCCCTGTACCAAAAAATCAGTTCAATTCAGTTCAATTCAATGGAGCTAATAGTTGCTGCCTCACATACCTCAACAGACTCCTAACTCAACTGAGAGAATATAAACAGTAGTCTTTGCAAATGCTGAACTTCTCTATACATCTGATTAAGAGCTGGCAAATTTTTTTCTTAGAAGAGCCAAATAATAATAATTTTAGTCTTTGCAGACCATCCCATCTCTACTGTGACTACCCAACCCTGCCATTTTAACAGGCATAGATAATACATAAACAAGTGAGTATGGCAGTGTTCCAATAAAGCTTTTATTTATAAAAACAATTTATGGGGTTGGCAGTATAGCTCAGTTGGTAGAGTGCCTGCCTCAGATGCCCAAGGCCCTGGGTTCAGTCCCCAGCACCACAAAAACAAACAATATTTATAAGTCATATTTGGGCCATAGGCCATAGTTTTCAGCCCCATATTAGGTGCTAGAGATCTTTAAGGGTCAGTCGCCCAGGACTGAAGAATTGTATGTCTTAGAGCTGATGCCTGGGAATTAGGATCAGTTAAAGAAACCAACATGTGTTATACACCTACTGTACACCTACTGTGTACTGGGCACAGTGATAATCTGTATAGATGTCCTCTCATGTAGCCTTGGCACTGTAAGTGTTGTTCTCTGCATTTTATGCATCAGAAAACTGAAACTCAAGAAAGGTGGAGTGAGCCATGGTGGCACACACCTGTAATCCCAGCAGCATAGAGG